TAATTTTAAAATAATATAAATATATATAAGTTTTAAATTTAAAAAATATACATTAAAATATAATATAAATTATAATATAACTAATTAATAGAGACAGTCAAAACATCCACTAATTTCAAGTTAGCCCAACTCTAATTACCGCATTATATTTATTTTAACGCAAGAATGTCAAACCACAGCTGATAAAATAAAATTGTCCTTTTACACTTCAAACATAAACAAATAAGTAAAAAAATATAATTTCATAAATTATCTTAAATAAAATAAATAATAATCAAAATAATAGAAGTTAAATCTAAAAAATTAAAAATTAAAAGATGAAGAAATTAAAATAATAATAATTAATATTTTGTAAATTCTTTCAAATAAAATAAGTAACAATCAAAAGAATGGGAAGCAAATTTAATAGATAAAAATTTTTAATTAAAAGATGATAAAGAAAAAGCAAATAACAATTATAAAAATAAAGACCAAAATTAATATAAAAATTATATTCTAATGGATGAAATTAAAAAGTAAATATTTAAAACACAATATATATATATATAGCAATAAAAAGTACATATTGATTAATAAAGAAGAATACTTATTGAATACTTGAATATTATAAAATCTGACTTGTGGTCCATCAGGTTCATTCCTCATGTATCTTAAAATTAGGGTTTTTTTATTTTCTATTAAAGATATTTTGAAGTGTAATTAAGTTATGTTGTTCTTTTTTAATGATAAATAAACATAAAAAAATTTAAAAAATAATTTTTAAAAAACTAAATTCTAGAAAATAAACATATTCTGCAAAGAACACCAAGACCTAATTAGAACATCACGGCTCGGTGAATAACATTCTTACATTATGTATTCACGGAGAACATGTTCTTCTACACCATTCAAAGAAAAAAGGAAAAAACCTTGTATGTGTGTTTTCAACATATACGAGATTTGATGTCTCTGTAGAGTGTATCTCTGTGACTCAGGATGGCCTTCCCATTACAAAACTGAGTGCAAAAACTAGATCTAGAGTTGCATTTTCTTGAACTCGTGTTTTCAGTCTCGTTTAACTTTAGAACCAGCCGAGCTCACACGTCTTTTGTCGGGAAGAAAGAAGAGAAAATTTGGACTTAATTCCTGCTGTGGAAAACTGTGTTGTTTTCTCATGCTAGGCTGTAATATGCACGTCCGGCCGTCGACGGCGGAATAAATATATGGTGATAAATTAGGCAAATTAAAGGCAACAAAACGTGGTTAATGCCATGTTTAATCTGTGTTTGTAACTTTAATTCCCACTTGAGTTGGAATTTATTTTTTTTATTATTATTTTTTGAGACAGTGGAAGGTAATTAACATTTAAAACAAGAAAGATTATGAAACATGCTCCTCGCTCTAATTATTCTCCTATCCTTAATTCTTAATCCATTATTGTACCTTTTTCTCTCTTTTCGAATTGAAGTGCTCAAGAAATCTTTCCTAAGCATGAGATTCTTTTTTATTCGAGTTGTAGTTAAGAGATAGGACTGGATTGTGGAGTGGGAATATTAGTAAAAAATTAGAAACAGGATTAATAGATAATTATCGTGTAATATAACCTGTCCCATCTTGGGAAACAGAAGTGATGGGTTTCAAGCCCAATTATAAAGAAATAGGCTTTATTTATCTTACCATTCTCATCATACTCGGCCCATAACATAAGGGTCCTGGATCAATCAACGGCTTAGGCCCAGGCCCAGACTACTTTCTTTCGTGCTGGGCTTTAATTACCGTTGATGGTTATTCGATGCTACTTCCAAATCCTCCATTATTACTATAATTATAACTTAGTATCTCAAGCTTATCAGAACTAATCAATTAGTCCCTATATTATCAAGAGTTATTAAATAATCCACCATTCAAGGTCGACCATCCTCAATTTTTTTTTTAATTTTTTAATTCCAAAATGTTTTCTGTCCTCGTCAAATCTCCCTGGTGACCTACTTCTCCTTTTCCTTTTTATTTCTTAAAAAAATAAAAAGAATTATGAAATTGACAAAAGGACTCACTTGGAATTGCCTATCTAGGCCATGGCACTCATGCAGGCTCCACAGTAGCTGGCTTCACGGTTGAAGGAGTAAGCCTGTATAGCATGGGCCAAGGCGCTGCTCAAGGTGGAGTTCCATCATCCCGGCTTGCAATCTAGAAAGTATGCTATGTAGATGGGTGTCATGACTTGGACTTGATGGCTGGATTTGATGATGCAAATATCCAGGATGGTGTGTAAAAACAAAGTTTATATATATAGACTAGTGAATAATAATGTTTAATTTATCATAATAATAAGATAGGGTAAACATAAAAAGTTTTGAAAGAAAACCTATAATTCATGCAAGTTTAAGTCTATTAGCATGCAAAATAATAATTTATAACAAATATGTTATCAACACAAATATAATACTAACATGCATGTTAAGCATATATATAAATTTATAATGGATACTAATTCAAAATTCCACCATGCATATTTGATGTGTGTGGTCCCACCACCACATTAATTAGTATGAACTGTAACTTTAAATTAAATGTAGCTGTCAATGACAGTAGTGTTTTTTGAACAAAAAAAAGAGGAGAAAAGGGGAGAAAGAGAGGAAGAAGAGGCAACAGAGCAATATGTCTTATTTCTTTGATTTTTAGCTCTTTCATCATTGGATTAGGCTGTAATTTTGACAGTAGCTTCTAGACATATTACTTTTTATTCTGAACGGTTGGATCAAAAATTGGTGGTGTGGAAACTGATCATTTTGATAAAAAACAGGGTTGTCAATATTGTGATGATTTTTATGTTTAATGATGGGCTTTTATTTTTATTATTAATATCCATGCATATTAATAATAAAAATATATATGTTTAAATTAAATTAAAGAATGGTACTTACTTTTTGAAGTGCATTAAAGTAATGAGACTTTTGCTCTTGTTAAGGATGAATCATTTATCTTTAAAATTTTGTTACTCATAACTTGTGCAACTAGGATATTTACAGTATTCCTCCCTAGATTCCAACAACATCATCTTGGTTTAGATGCACTTCTAAATAAGGTTTATGAACTAAAGAATATGAAATTTAAATATCCCTCAACAAGATGAACCTAAACTCTAAATTTAGAAGAAAAACCAAAGCATAAAAGAGAATGAAAACATTAAAAAACATGAGATTAATATCCAAAATATTATTATAAATAATACAATTCATTCAATTCTAATATAAGGATAAAATCTGCAAGGAATTTCATTTGAAATATCATTTGAAATGACATGGTAGCAAAAATTCTAATTTTACCTTGAAAGAAGACTCGACGATAATTAAGGATATTTCACCTTCTTAAACCGAGTTCTTGACCTAGAAAACTAAAGTTTGTTCATCGTAACAAACTCATTGTAGTAAGCTAGTAGAAATAGATATCATCCAACCATAGCAAATAATAAAAACTAATGCAACTTACTTTACATAAAGTGTACTAGGTGTGTTAATATATTTCCTTTTACGTAACAAGTCTCTTGCCTAAAATATCTAAAAAACCAGTTAGGGATTCTAGTAGCCATAATAGTATATGACGACTTCCTAACCAACCAAAAAACCTTTTAGAATCCCATCTAGAAAGGGTCGCCACAACATTCTGTCCCTATGATATAAAAGTATTGCACTTATATTAACAAATAATAGTTTCATTGGCATCATTTTTATATGTCATATTGAATTTACCTTTCATTTCACTAAATAATTGTTAATGAATGTGACATTTAACCAATCAAATAGTTACACATAGCACTGGTTTTTTCAGGTAAAACATATTTCTTGATTTGACAAAGTAGACATATTTCATGATATAATGTCTAAATAAAAACATTCTTGATGAATAGATAAAAATTACATTAAGAAACTAGTCATTGAGATATTAAGTCAATCCACTTATGGTTTTTCTAATATTTAGGGGATTGTGACAGATTATTAGACATGTACTTAATTTTTAAACATAAATTAATCAATTATTAAATTGATAATAAATTTAATTGTTTAATTTATTTATTTTTATTTTATTTAGGATTATAATTTATATTTGGATCAACTTATTAGGAAACCTAATGGGTTACATACATACCAACCATTGATCAGAAATTAAAATAGAATAATTAATCAAGTATGACTTAATTGTAAATAAATTATAAAAATTAAGGACTAGAATGTAATTAATATAAGAGATTACAATTCTAGACCTAAAAAAATCAAGTAGGGATTTAATTGAATAAATTTCTAAAATAATATATGTAATATTCTTTAAGAGGCAAATTGATATATTGTTATTTATAAGGTTTTTAGATTTTCTTATAACTAGAATGTTATGCCTCTTATTTCCTAAAAGAATATGAGAAAAGTATAGTACAAAAACACCTTAAATAAAAAAGAAAAGAGTTAGCATTCTAAGGTATAGTAATCTCTCTCTTCTAAAAGGGTTTGAAAAATTTCTCATTCATGGTTCTTGTGGATTAATGTTAGAGGGCTGACACTTCGACAATTTATAACTTGTAATAATTTAGCCTTAAAACAATTATTCAAAGTCGAAAAAAATATTTTGTATTCACGTAATCTTTGCATAAATCCTAAACAACTCTAGATCTATTGAACGAGATCCTTAAAACTCTTGAAAAATTTTAAATTTATCGTTTACATTGTGTATATGTATTTCAAAAAACCCAATAATAATCATTTCACCAATCACTTATAAGGTAAATAGTTTTTATTAGATGAATGACAATCAAGATTTTAATGAGATTAATTTATTATTTATCCACAATTCATTTTAATTATAAGTATATTCCATATATATGTTAAAACAAATTTCTTACCATATTTCTATCAGTTGTTGCTTGTACTTGGCTGTATATTAGCGGATGCATGCTGTATTAGGAAGAATTTTCTTCTTTATTTCCTACATATACATAGTATACTCATTTTGTTGTGTAGAAAGTTGTCCATTAATCTAAAAGATTGTGTTCCCATATGTTATGGTTTTTCCATAAATTAAAGGGGAAGGGGGGTGGATTAGGTCGAACCGTGACCTGGTGTTTCCATACATAAAGCTGCTAAACAAGATCGGACAACATTATTATCTTACACTAATGGCACATGTAACTTAGAACAGACATGATGCTTTGTACCATTGTAAGAACTAGGAGGATGGAGGCGGATAGAACTGAGATGAATGACCAAGCACTGCTAAAATAAGTTCGCCTCATTGTTGCCCAGTTGCTGCTGTAATATGACTCTACTTCTCTGAAGAGCTTGGAGAGATAACACTCTCGAATATTGAAAGCGACATTTTTCCCTAGAGTGTTGAAGAGATCGGCCACGTATTGGTCATCTTGGGAGAATCTTGTGATGATCCCTTCTGAACAAAGAAAAGTAACATCTCTCGGTTGGTTAATGAGACAATTCATGAAAGAGACATAATCGGTGAAGTATTTGGATCTCTTTTCCTCGCAGTGTTCTAGGGCAACACAGTTTACGAGGACAGTGCTTGTGAAGTCATTAATGGTGACGGTTGGAATTTCAAGTACACAATTTTGGAAGTTTATATCCAGGAAGCTATCGCTCTTTCTCGGACGAAACTTGATTCCTGATGGCCTAAGCTGCGTGACACCTTGAATTGACTGGTCTGATGGATGATATTCCTCTAAATCAATGCAAATGATGACCTGATCTGAGGGAAGGAGGCTCAAGTGGAATAGGTCAAGTAAATGCTTACCATGCCAGGATCTGAACTTCTTCAGGATTTCTGCACGTCTTGGAAAGACTAGATCAATGGCTTTTAATGCAAGCATCGGTAGAGGATCTGGTTTTGGTTTTATATCTCCATTACCGCCAGACAAGTTGAATATTAAGTGGAGGAGGAAATAGGGAAGTTGGTTCTCAAACTTAAGGAGATCCCTGATTACAATCGGGATCAACCAAGGCCTTGTGAAGATGGGGTCACCCTCATCAATCGTATCTTCACTGTGGTTGAGATTTCGGAGAAGTTCAAGAACAAAGCAACTGTCAAGCAACATCATTTCCACGAAGTCATGACTTGACATAGAGATAGCCTCTGAGTAGCAGTCTCTTATGGACCTTTCGTTGAATTTTAATGCACCAATTAGATAGTCGCTTAAATCAGTTCTTGATCGAGAAAGAAGCTTATCAAGGAAGAACCACTTGTGGTCTTCAAACTCCAGTAAATGATCTTTGCCCCTGTGGTAAGGGCCTAATGACACGAGCTCAGGTTGGTAAGTGTTCGGATTTATTTTGTCGAAGCTACGAGGAAATGGAAAGATGCATACGGATGAACTCCGAACTCCATGTCTTTCTATTCCACGCCCTTCCTCAAGACGGCGCTGAATACGTTTCAAAGAATGTTGATCTGCAAAAAGCGAATAATCATGCTGAAATTCCTCATGCCGTAGGCCTTCGGTTGGAGCAGGAACTTGGTACTCCTCTCTATTTAGGTTCTCAAATGATGATCTTGAGTGGCCTTCAGAAAAATCCTCCTCGTAGCGTAGGATTTCAGTCGGCACAGAAGCTCGGTTCTCGTCTCCACTTGGGCTTGACCACGTTGGACTTGCTTGGCCTTCAGGAACTCCCTCCTCTTCTCTCATCTGGCTTGAACTTTCCCCATCTAGTAACGATTTCCCCTTCCTTCTCAGGGTACTTGAGTTTGTTTTCATATCAAAATCATCAATTCTCGTTGCTCTTGACTCCATATATCCGTATGGTTCTCTAAGAAGTATTTAGTGAATGCAAGTAGCTTCGATATGCTTTTATAGTGAATGCAAGAAGCTTAAATATACCTTCAGATTTTCTAAAATGCATTCCCAGAAAAGGGATGACCAAAGAATTCCCATTTCCGTAGTTACTTTTAGGTGCTTCCTAGCAACTACAAGGTTACCTGTAATCCTAGAACGCTCGACTTCGAGCAGATAACATCAAGGGGGAGATGTGGGGAAGCTTCATGTCAAGTCTTTTGAATGCACTTATTAACTTTTCGTTACTCTTTCCACGTTAACTTGACACATTTTGAATGCACTTATTAACTTTTCGTTACACTTTCCACGTTAACTTGACACTTGACACTTGACACGGTTGTTGCATCATTTAATTTCGAAAAGGAAACTGGTATTGAAGAAAGTCTTGCTAATTGTTTTGATTAAAAAAATATATATTAATCTTTGTCAAGAACTGAAACTCTTTGAATCTTGTTCACATGTAAGAACTGCATTCATGATCTGGTAACAAATCAGCCTGCTAACAGTTCACGTATACATTTTCAAACAGGAAAATGCCCAAAAAAGTTGCTCGATATTTTTTAAAAAAATTGGCTTCCATCAAATATGGTTCAATTTCACAGTAATTTGAAGTTTCACTTCACTGGTAGCTTCGCTCTCGTATCTCAATTCGTGGAATCATAGCTACAAATATATCATTAGCAAGCATAAAAAAAAATTCAATTTAAATTATCTTTTTAAATACAGCATAATGGATATATATTTCTACTTTTTCCTCTCATATAAACTTAGCTAGGATGTCATATATAGTTCAAACTGATTAGGCTCATGCTATGCTGCAACTTGAATTAAAAAAATTTAATATAAAAAAATATTTAAATACCATTGATGTTTTTTCTAATAATAAAAAAAAGCTTTAACCATATTGAAATTGATCCAATATAACTTGGTTGACTTGATAAATTCAAAAATAATCTTGATGATTAGTAAAAATATATTTTGACTCAAAATATATATTTAAAATAAAATTATTTTTATAAATATTAAGACGATAATATATCGAATTAATTCAGATTAACTCGAGTTAACCTGATAATCTATATATTGAGTCATGAGACCATGATAACTTCATAGAAAACAATCAAAATAAATCATGAAGCTTAATTTCCAATAAATTCAATATTAAAGGATAAATTTAAAAAGAAATCAATTAAAAAAATAACTTGAGTTAACTCGGATTAATCTGCTAAACTTGTGATACAGGTCATGAGATTAGAATAATTTAATAGAAAGTAAATTGAAATAAATTATAAAGTTCAATTCTTAATCAACCCAGTATTGAAAGATGAAATTAAATACAGAAATAAAAAGGATACAAAAAAATAATTTGAGTTAATCAGGATTAACCTGCAAAACTCGTGATCTTAGTCATGAGATAAAAATAACCTCATAGAAAGCAAACCAAAATAAATTACAAAATTTAATTTCAATTAATCAAATGTTAAAAAATAAAATTTAAAAAAAAATCGAATCAATCAAGTTAGCTCGTTAAATCCTTGATCTGAATCATAAGTATGAGATAACTTTTTAAAAAATAAATTATAAAATTTAATTTTTAATAAATTTAATTTTAAAAGATAAAATTGAAATCAATAAAAAATTATATAGATTAGGAAAAAAAAATTCTTATGATGAATAGTACGAGGAGATATAATAAATTTTCTTTCTCTTTTAATTTAAAAAAAAAATATTAAAAAAAAATTCTCAAAACTATTGCCAAAAAAAAAATCTCCAAAATGCACTCATTCATAATAATTACTTTTGTTTAAAATGTATTAGTTCGAGTATAATAAGTGTGTTTAAGAGGGTTTTGAAAGGTAGAGTCGTATGATTAAATTTAAAATTCCTAAACTCGTTAAAGTTAAATTCTTGGTTAATTAAGTTAATGTGAATCGATTAAAAATGATATAATTTAAAAAAAAATAAAAAAATCAAATCAAATCATAACAAAGTTCATTCTAATCTTCTTTATTTTTTTAAATCTAAGTCATATCCTTAGACGATCGGATCCGGATTGCCAAAACAGAAAAAGTTCATTAACACTCAAATAATTAAAAATCTTAACAGTGTGTTTAGAGGGTTAAAGATTATTAAATGACACAAATAACTTTCACCTAATATCAATTTCTTTATACTTATATTTTCTAGTCTCTACGAAAATAAAATAAAATAAACACTCGTTACTAGAAATTGGGTTATAATCCTCATTTAAGAAGATGTGGCAATTGATCGCCATAAACCTTACCTATCCTCATTATCGCCTTATCCAAGCGCCCCTTTCTTTGCTTCTCCATCGGTTATCATGGCAACGTCCGCACACCACGCCTTCCCCAAATTCACTATAACAACTCCTGCTCGTCCCGATTCAAGATTACTCAGTTTCAAATCATTCCGGTGCTGCGCGCGGACGACGACGACGACAACCACTGACACCGACACCGGGACGCAGCGAATCACGGTGAAGAAGGGTAACGATTCGCTTGACGTATGCAGAGTCCTTAATGGTGTCTAGAAGACTAGCGGCGGTTGGGGCCTGACTGACGGAGCCGACGCCGTCGAGGCCATGCTTGGATACGCTGGCCTCTCCGCCTTCGACATGGCCGATCACTGTAAATTAAAATAAAAATCCCTCACCCTTCTGTTTTGGGGGGTTTTTTATTGTTTATGTGGTGTTTTCACATTGGACAGGAGAGTCCTGGGGCTTATTTGCTTGTCACGTGATTTCTTAGTTTATTTTTTTTTTGCTTTAGTGTCCCTATGGATTTAACTATTTACTCATTTGCCTCATTTTTTTCTTCTACCTGTAACCATGTAACCGTTTAAGCATGCTTTGAACAAAATGCCCTCTCCCCCCCTTCCATAACTGCGAAGGCCTTTCTATAGAATCAATGATGGGAGGTGAGACAAGGAAGCAGATAAGATGAAAGAAAAGTAGTAGAAGGGAAGTGAGTCAAGAGATATGGCTTTGGGGTTTTAAAAGAAGCAAAAACACATGCCCTTTTTTTATTCTTTTTTGTCTCTCTCTATTTAGCCCTGTTTTTGCATTTGAGGATGGGTTTTTGTACCATCTAGCAACTTCACCTTTAAGGGAATGGAACTGGCAAGTAGAAGGGTTGATAGAGTGAGACAACTGAGTTTGAAACCATTGCAATGTGTTTTGACTAAGGAGGATAACAGGAGAATTGTGGTGGTGAAGAATGGAAAGAATTGTGGGGGTGGGGGGTCCCTCGTGACTGGTGGGAGAGCTAGGATAAATAGCCCATTTTTGGGATTGATCTTGGTATGCAAATATGATGTCATAATATATCTTTTTCACGATATTGGATTTTTTTTTCTTATTTGACGATATTATAAAAGATTTAAATAGATTTAAATAGTTTAGAAGTAAGATTTATATTTTGGATAATTGATTAATTATTTAGTTATATTAATTTGATTCATTTTCTTACTCAAAATGGTTGATGCTTAAAATTTAGTAAGATAAAGTGGTTGGTAGTTAATACCTATAAAATGTTATGTTTTTTTTTTAATTTGAGAACTATTTGATTTTTAAATAAATATCATTTTAAAAGAAAATATAATAATATTATAAAGAGATTATGAAAATAAATATATCATCCAGAATGAAGATTTGAAACCTTTTCTTTTAAATATTGAATGGGTTTTATAACTCATGATTTTTAGTTTTTGGTGGAGACAAGGGCTTAAAAGTATATTTTCTTTGAAGTATTTAATATCTCTTACATGTTAAAAGAAAAATATTTTTTATTTATCAAAAAAAATATCTGATTTGTTAGAATCTCATGGTTCAATAAAAAATCTTACAAGATTATTATAGTCTCATGTATTTGGTCTTAGCATTTACCCGAGTTCAAGAATGTTGCCAAAATCATATAAATTTGGGTTAGCATTTACTAAGCATGAGAATATTAGATATGTTAGTTCACTGAACTCATAAATACTTAATGTTGCCAAAATCATATAAATTTGGGTTAGTATTTACTGAGCTTGAGAATATTAGATATGTCAGTTCACTGAACTCATAAATATTTAAAAACTGAATTTGAGAATACTAGGTTATCATCTTGTCTCTAGTTTTTATTTTAACATGAATTTTAAAAAAAAAATATGTATAAAACACATTTATCCATCATTATTGAAATTGATTGGCTTTAATTTTAAATGTTTAATTAGTCAGACTAAAATTTTCCTTAAGAATATTAACAACCACTAAGCTACAAGGAATAGGGATGTTCACAGTCAGGGGGCGGAATCAGGGGAGGGCAAGCAGGGACTACCCCTGCAAAACATTTTAATTTTTTAATTTTTTAATATTTTTTAATTTAAATAAATAAGTTTTTTAATAATAGATATTATTATATTAATTTTAGCCTCCCCTGTGAAATGTGCCTGGCTCTGCTCTTGTTTACAATCTGATTTGAATTTAATTTAAATTAAAAAAAATCAATTAAATTTAAATATGTTAATTTTAAAAAAATATAACTTAAATTGAATTAAAAACTTATTCAAACAGAACTAATTTTGTTTGGTTAAAATTAGTTTTAGGATAAAAACCCGAAACCTAGTACCAACAAAAATGTGCATGTGTTGTTTTCCAAAGAGTCAAAACGTACAGATCTTTGATTCATTCAAGCATAAAAATAGTGAATGCCCATATTCCTGACATAATCTTACAAACAATACTTCCAATAATCATCTTTATAAGCTTTACAACAATCCTCCTAGCACAAATGGTGGTTTCAACAAATCAAAGATGCAAATAAAACCCGTCCAAACCTGCACCTCACTTCCATCTGTGAGCTTCAAAGGTATTCTTCACTTTAAAAAGATATTTATCTCTTTCTTATATTTTTTATGCTGGAAAAAAAATAGCGTGACATAGTTACCACCTAACTAGTGTTCTATAAGATAATAAAAAATTTCTTAGGTTTCAGTGTGTGTATTTTTTAAAGCCCGAATAAGAAATCCTTGTGGATCCAATCATAGCCCAATATGAACTTCTGGCCTTGACTTTTAGGCCCAGGGAGAACCAAACCACAGCACAAGGCAATCCAAGTCTACACGATTACACCTAGATGGATTTGCGTTTTGATTTTTAATATCAATAAAAAAACAATAAATTTGAGTTTTAATTATTTAAATTGAATAAAACACACTTTTTCAGCTGCTCACAAATCTTCAAGACAATAAGAAAAGCAGCTTCATTGTTGGAGTAGTACTAGGAGCTGTATTTACTTCTGAGTATCTTGACAATGTTGCAGAAGGTGAAAGAACTAGTCTCGCATTCTGTGATGTATTATTTAGTCCTGTAACGTATGCAGCTTGCTATCTTTCTGAAGGTTAAAAAATTACAGGAACCATCCAACAAGAATGTTCCAGGGTTCGAGCGGCGACCTTATTTTCATAAAATATAATAAGAGGGAAAGATAAAATTAGAAAAAGGAAACAATTGGCATCTAATGTTTAATCAATTTCACATGCAATTTTGCCCTTATGTGCTTAGTCCTCTAGAAGAAAAATTCCTTGACAACGGAAATAAGTTTTAACATGCAACCTCCAGCAATAGCATAACAAGATGGTGGTGGCAGAGACAAACAAGAATCATCTTAGCTATCCTAATTTAAAGGAAGAAAGATGTTTGAGTGATATTAACAGGGGCTTTCTTATTTTATTCTCTTTTTTTTTTTAATTATTGAGAATAAAGGGGATTTGGAAACACTATCACAGATCTATAGAAAATAAGATTAATGTATATCTTGCTCCTTATAAGATGACTTCTAAAATCCAAGAGGTACACTCCTGGAGGAGTTGAAACTTCTGACGAATGGCTACATTCAAGAAAATTTGCATTTTTCTGCGGAATTCAGACACATCTTCCCTGCACCTATACGATCCAGCACATGAACACTGTTCTGATAAATGAGCAGCTTTGACCTGATTGCACCTAAGACATACCAGATCCTGCAAATGATAAAGACGCTCCCTCTGTCGTACAATTTGAAGAAGCGCATTCTCCATTACTTCTCGGTCATAAGGCTGGCCACACTGTGGCACGGCACAGAGCCACTCCTCTGCCAATACAGCTGAGTCACGGCACAAGTCCAGGTCTCTACAGTCATTGCAGTAACTGTTCAAACATAGTTGTGAGTTCGCAAGATGTTGAGCTGATCAAAAACTAAATGGAAGAAAAATATAACTAATTATCAGCTGAAGCTATATCAAAATATAAATCAAATGATTAGAAACAAAGTTTTAAAAAAAATGCAATCCACTGTCACAAAATTCCTACAGAAAACTAGTTAACGCATGTCAACAACAACAGTTAATTTATTACAAACCCCGGTTTAACCTAGTATTAGAAGGATCCAGTACTGCAACAAGACCTGGCATGGTCATTGTTGACTTGTTTTCTAGAATCTGGAGTCTTGTAAATGTACCCCCAAAATATTCACAGAACTGAACTATTGAACTGATTCTACTCCAGGGCAAAGGATATCAATTGAAAAAACATGTTCAATATTTCCACTACAATCGTTCCCCTCAAGTGTCACTTACATTAAAATACAACTGGTTAAGTGCATAGCATGAATTATGGTGGTAATTCAGTTCTTAGCACCAGAATGAATTATCATGCTTGTAAGTTCCTGTGGTTCCAGAATTTCATAATTACTTGAATATGTGATCGCATCCTTGGTAGTAAAAGAAAGGCTAATAGTAAATAAAATCAAAGTCCCATAACATAGAAAGATACAATTTGTTCAACTGAAATCACGGGTAGTGTGTTAGCTACCCTGTGCCAGACCTATGCCACTGAAGGCAGATGGAAACTAAGCTCATAACTCACTAGTCCAAAAGCTACACTCCAAGCAACCTAGTTCCATTCCTCTTTTTGAAAATTTGTTCTTATCAGTAATCAAATAAAATCCCTTTTGAGGTAGCTAGTTAACACCTGAAACCAATTCAAAAGAGTATGGGTTCATATTCATTCAGCTCAGAAGATTAAATTGCGTCATAAAGAACTTTTCAGAGGCAGATGTTCATAAGATAATTGGCAGTTATATAAATCCAAATCCAGCGAGTCTAGTCAACAATAAATATTATACAAAGAGATTTCCAGAAACCTTAACCAGCAGAAAAATTTAGCTCTACTAGAACTCTTATGGATGGGTTTCACAAGAAGGTTCAGGTCTGTCTCTAATTAGACATCATCTTGCATCCAACCAAAAGACTCAAAAGCATCATCCAAGCTTAAAGATTAAAAATGATACGATCAGTCTAATTCTTATTACGATTTTTTAAAGATAAATCTTCTTCTGGAGAATGTAAGAACCTATACGGTTATTCTTACCTGCAAATTACATTTGGTAAGATAAAGGAAGGACAGGGATCATGAAACTCAGCTTCTGGAGCAAACTCCCGAACACGTACATATTTTAACAGATTCTTTCTCATCACCTGAATGATGGCAAGCAAATGAGATATCGAGTAATTTCTGAAAGACAACTGGAACACAAATATAAATTGTCTTTAAGAGTTTAGCTTCCACTTATAGTTCCATCTATAAGGTTTTGTTTGTCCATCATGCAAAAAAATGATGGCAAGCAAATGAGATATCGAGCAATTTCTGAAAGACAACTGGAACACAAATATAAATTGTCTTTTAAGAGTTTAGCTTGCAATTATAGTTCCATCTATAAAGTTCTGTTTGTCCATCATGCAAAAAAATGATAAAAATTTTAATTTACTTTTAAATTAGAAAACGAATTCTATAATCAATTTGTAAGAAGGTTAAATATAATTCTAATTCTTCCAACTCAAAAATATATTATATATTTTTTATCTTTTATATCATGGACAAACAAAACACTACTTGTGGAGTAAAAAGACTTGTATGTTGAAGCAAAAAAGAAATTAGAATTTTGTGCTAGCTCTTATTTTATGCGATGTTCTAGTGCTGGTCAGTTAGGCAGAAATTACCAGAACTTCATGCTGCACGTGCTGGTCAAGAGCCAGGACAGCACAAACATGCTTAATGAATTCCAGTGCAGGGTCCCCTTTGTGGTTCATGCCCGCAGGTTGCTGGATACCGAGTGAAATCTGTTGGCCATTCTCAGATTTGTTTATCCCCTTCATGTGAAGAACAGTATCCCGAACAATTCCTAGAAGTTTGTCAGTGAAGTGTGTGCCAATCTGCATATATGAAAATCAAAAGAATCAATTCAGAATTTATGAAGGAATCAAGACATCATTCATCTTTCACTGACAAATATCCTCATAGTACCTGCCCTTTAATATATTCCACCATGTGTGATTCAAGATTCTCAGCAGCTACAATAGTGATTGATGGAGTACATGAGTTGCCTTCACGCAAAGCTTCTCTTGTTGCAGCTTGCTTTTGTGCATAGTCCCAGGGAATAAACATGAATTCTGAGACAATTAAAACGAAATGATCCTGCAAAAGGCTCAAAAGATTATTGAAGAAGACAGCCCAGAAAAAAATAAAGAACAAATCATAGCATAAAGAGAAGTACCATATTCTAAAATGGGTGGTTTAATATTGACCAAACAAAATCATTATATTAGTTGGCCAGTAAAGCAGTCCCTTATACATGCCACAATTGTTGCAGAGAAGATACCTGGATTTTCTTGGGCAGGTATTCAGCAATATTCCAGTTTGACACAATATCCACTTTTGGTTCTTCTCTTGGGGAGTGATGATGCAAATCATTGTGAGAACTGTCATCAGGTCTGGCTGGAATGCCACCATAGTTGTACTGTTACCCAGAAAGTAAAGTGACCATGAATTGATTGGAACACGAAAAAACCAACATTTTTTTATGATTTCAGTAGATTAAGAAAAGGAAAGATCTTTCAAAGCAAATGCAGTAATTTCCAAACAACAAGAATTCAAACCCTTTTATTAATTTAGTTTTCAATTCCAATGGCATCATTTTGGAGGCTTTTGATAAAAAAAATGGAAAACATCAATTGAAGAGTACAATAATGGAAGGACAACATCAAAGAAACTCTAAGTAAATGACAGAAGAAATCCAAATTCCAAATGGAAAAATCAAATTTCAATTCCAATGGCATCATTTTGGAGGCTTTTGAAAAAAAAATGGAAAATGTCAATTGAAGGGCGCAATGCTGGAATGACAATGTCAGAGAAGTCTATGTAAATGATAGAAGAATTACAAATTCAAAGCCCCTCGACAACTGACAAAAACAAAGTAAAAGCATAGCTTGGGAATTTTTCATATAATGTTGAAATTAGAAAAAGATAATACACCAAATACAGTTTAAAAGTTGTACAACACATTTCTGGTGAAAAAGTTCATTTCTGAAGTGTCAATAGCACATCAAAAAACCTGAATATATGGAGGATCTGTCACAAATTTATTTATCATGATCGATCACAATCAGTGTCTTTACAAACCTGATCCATAAAGAGCAAGGAATGCCAAAACTGCAATGGTTCAAGCTCAATCCACTCGAACAGTTCTCTACAATTCAGCAAAGACAGAAGAATTACAAGAAAAGAAAAAGGGAGGATATATATTATAATTGTTGGGCATAACAAACCTATTTTGCAAAGTTTTGAGCACGCTGTCACAGTAAGCTTTGGCAGCAGTTAATTCGAATTTTCCTGTGTCTATGATAACCTTCGAAAAATTGGCAAATATGATTGTGGCACCTAATTTGCGTAATTCAGCCAACAGCAAAGCAAAAACCTTTTGCATGACCTAAGATTGTAAAATGGAAGTATCATCAACTTAATGGTATGGAAAAATGTCAATGTACATTCATATATTGAAAGAATTACTACACACCATCAATTATACGAGCTAGAAAATAGAAAAATGAGTGAGATGGTGGAAGACTGATGGCAGAGAATCCTTGTGACCCTAATCTAATGGTGGGACATTTTCCTCATGGCACAAAAATATCCATGTGAAGCCAGCATTTACCTTGTGGAGTATGCGATGAAGAGCTGGATCATGAAGCTTTGATTGGGGGCTGTGACATTAAAGCAAAAGAAATGAATAAACAAATCCAAAAATAACAGGTGTATGTTAAAGATTATAGCACTACGACCTGCAAAGCCAACGATACAGATGTTGTAAAATTGCATCAGCAAAAACATTTCCTGATGTAACTGCATCTGCAAGGCACCTCTGGATCAGCTGTTTCAGGACACGCAATCCAGATGCAGATGAGGTAGCCTCGTCAAAGCCGCTCTGATCATATAGAGTTGTACTGGAATTCATGTCCTGGTCAAATCCTAACAAAGCACCTCCTTCCATTTCATTTATTTGGTTACTTTTCAGAAGAGCATCTACAGCCAGGTGATGTATCTGCACAGAAAATTTACTCTTGGTTACTTGCAATCAAGGCCATTTAGCATCTCCCCAGATCACACCCTAAATAAAAGGAGAGAATGACAAAAAGAAATCTGAACCTTTAATTCGACTGAAACTTTCCTATATGCTCCAGGGTATGTTAGAACAGGTTGTTGGACCTATTTCAAAACAAATAGTAAGTTCACAAAAAACAACAACAAAGTAAACAGATATTGCTACAGAAACAAGAAAAATCCATAGTGTACTAGAAATAAGATCAACTAACTTCTCTTACACAAGGAAAACAAAATGATATCCAGATTTCTACAACTTAGAGGTTTTCCTAATTTTGTTTGCGATTATTTGAAACTAACCTCATCAGCAAAACATGTAGATTCTTCATGATTACCTCCTAAATCTGGAACACCATCATCAGATATCCAAAGCACCTGCAAGAATTGATACACTTAAGATGGAATGGAAAAAATTGTAAAACAATTTGCATATATAAAAGTAACTCTTTGAGTAATGGAAATAACTTTGGCTGGTTTGCTGCCATCAACTTCAGCCTCTCAGAATAAATGCACAAGTGCAAGAGAATCTTAATCAATTTACACAAAAATGGAAGCTATTGTCCCATTAAAGTACCTGTTGTTGATCATGTAATGCTCTCGAAAAGAAGACATCTGCCGTGAATATAAGCCAGTCAAGTTCAAAATTTCCCAAGGGTACCTGCACAGCAGATTTAAAATGTTTATATTTATATAAGCAAAAGGGACAGATGGACTAACAATTTGCTCCAGAAGAAAAAAATTACATGGGCATATCTTGAGAGAGAAATTCTTTCATTCAACCACTGAGATGATGCAGCAGAACGTTGCATGCCAATTTTTGCAGATGCTTGTTGCCACCCAAGTACCTATTCAATGCACAGCACAAGAATTAAGCAGTGAAAAGAATGTAACCCGATGCAAAGGAACTTGTGTATGTGAAGAAGCTATTGATTTCGCATTATTTTACCTGATACTGACTATCACGAGCATTCGAAGGTATGCTCACACAAGGGAAATCATCAAGAGCTGGTACACCTGACTTCATCAAGTGTGCATTTGGGCATTCAATGACAGCAAGTGTAGGTCCATGATGCTTGTCTCTGTTAATCAAAGAAAATAAGCAAGCATATTTTATTTGGCTAGAAAAAACAAATGAAATCTCATGACTATATCTAGATGATGGAAGTTCAGCAAAATCCTACAATATAGCAGATAGGAAGTCACTGATATGTACTCGGAACAAATTCAGGAATTTGAAAACCTTCAGGAGTTTTAAATGCACCACGCATGATATTTTCACTTAATAGGCCACTTATACATGACAATATCACATGAGCACAGATGTGTAATGAGGACACCATTTTATTGCCTACATGTCTTTATGAGTTTATAACATTGTGGACATGGTAGACATAATCCATTCACTTTTCTCTGCAGTTGGTGAAGAGATGCAGCATCCATGATGATGCAACTAAATCATATAGAGAGATGAATGCAACAGCTGTCCTTCGAATCTTATGTGTTTTATCAAGATTTTGAAGCTACATATTAGCTGCTATGAGTAAAACCTGAGTTCGCTAATTGTTCCTTGTAAAATCTTTTCAGCATCATTGACATGTCCAACATAGTCCACCTGAAATTAGCACCCAAGATTAACCAACAAACATAAGAGCTACTGCAGTTGAAGAAAGCCAAGAGAGCAAGCCACGTAAAGAAAAGGAAGGCTACTAATTCACCTTGAAAACAATACTATTCCTAGGAGGTATTGCTTCAATTGACAATGCTTGGCAAGCTTCCCGAAATTGTCTTTCAAGAAAAGATGGTGTTATATCCTTGTTTTGGTAAGGATTAACAACCACAACAGATACCGTCCCCAATGCAGGCAAATAAATGACATATATAGCACGTCCTTCAGAGATGCTGTAGTGGGTAGTTAAAAAAATGAGCAATTAGCATGAATACTAGGCTTCAAGATGAGAATGAAAATGAGCAGGATAGGAAAAGAACCTGACAACAAACTTAAATATTCTTGAAGAAATTGGATTTATTGTTTAAGAAAAATAGCATTCAACAGAAAAGTATGCAATTTAAGTAACTAAACCAACCTGCTCATTACACATAAGATAGAAACAGTTCAATAGTTCTTAACACCCCCCTCTCTCTCCCCTCAGGGTACATCTCCAGTTCCAGATGTTGTATGCTGGATTGATTAGTTATGGAGCATTTAAAATCCTAAACTATCGATCTTATATGCTAATGATTTAAACCAAAGACAAATAACAGTGAAATATGCTCCAAATAGAAGAATTGTAAAGCTTGAATTAAGGAAAGGCCTCCTGGTCAATTTTTAACTATTGAAATATTAAAGTACTACAGCCTACTCATATATAATAAAGCATTATCTTTATACGGTACAGTGAGTTACCTATGATATATGTAAAAGAAAGATATTGATTGCTCCAAATAGGAACATTCTGTTGTAGTCTTCATATGCAGCTCACTCAGACTCCAGCCATCCTGGGCATTTCGTTTTTTAGCAGTTTTATCCACTTTACAGACACAACCAATTTGGATTACTGCATTAAATTCCAATGGCACCTTTGATTCATATATCCCCTGCTCAAAAATTTTAAATTAAGAAAAATCAAAATTATATCACAAGACAAGAAAACTGCAACTGCTGCAGTTTAATCAATTACCAAATAAAATCTTGCAATTTCAAAAACTATAATAACCCTCTCATTAGAAACTTGCAAACAACTGCCCTTTACCTGGTTCATGAATCCACATGTTTTGCAGAAACTTTTGAATATCCATTTATATTATGGAACAAAAAGGAGAAAATAGCCACTAAAGCAGCTCTATGAAATATCATCTTGAGCAGAACTATAATTCAACAAAACATGTAAAACTATCACAATATATAACTTATCACATCCATGCCATGACATTAATTACTTAAATGCAGTAATTATATATATTTCAAAGGAGGATTAGATCACAGATCATCAAAGCTGAAGGTCACTGATAAAAACTTGTAAATACTTGCCAGCGTTGGAATACCTTCTTAAAGATTCAAAAGTGAAGTTAGTGATAATAAAATATGAGATTGGCAACACTGCAAAGATCTCCTAGAAGACAAAGTGGAGAGCTCAACCAGATCAGGTGTGGTATCCACATGATTCAGTAATAATCTCGCTCTTCATAAAAATTACTCACTCAAAAAGTGAGGGCACCAGTAACAATAAGCAAGCGTGCACAAAGAGAAATATATCAGAAATTGAAGGGCCAGATCAAAGGAATTTGTGTAAAAATAAAAGGGTTATCTGCAGTTCCTGAAGCATGTTTCAAGACTGCATTAACATAAATCTTATTAGGGAAATACATCAAACACAGATCCACCTCAATGGCTTCTGCACATGAATAACCACACAGTGAGAACCATGTGAAGTTCAGCAGCATATATGCATTCTAATATGCTTACCTCAACTTCTGGGTCTGCAAGAAGAGCTGCTAGTTTCTTGCTTTCCTTCCTGAACTTGTCTTCATCTATAACGACCTATCGAGGAATCATACTCAAAAAAATTAGACTGGGAGGCAAATGGCAAGACCAGAAATAACCACCTACAAGTGATGTGCTATAGACATACCTCAACTAGGTTATAGCTCGGCCTTCCATGAGGAAGCGTCTTAGTGACACGCCTACCAGGAAAATTTTCCATCACGGTTGCTTTAGAGTTGAGGTAAAATGCTCGTGGAATAGTTATAGGAATCTTAAGCATGATTCCCTCCACAACAACCCATGCAAAAAATTGGCCACAACATGAACTTGGAAGTAGCTGTATTATCTGAACCCAAGAAGAGATACGGCAGTCACAAAGCAATATCTGTGGCCAAATGTTCTAAGTTCATTGCTACCAATTTTTTTAAATGATAGAAATTACAAACCTGCCAGTGGCATCGTGTTAGTGCTACTTCATGTGTAGTAAAATATGAACCAACTCCAGTTCTGCGCTGAGCTCCTTTATGATTGGTTAGACCACCCAGCAGTTCAGATGCACCAGTAACATGGTGTGAAGTCCTTGTATTGCTCAACCTACCAAAGTTCACCAAAGCACATCATTAACACCCTTCACAAAAATACCACAGCTCCCAGTAGAGCATCCTGCAACCTCGAACATAAAGACATAAGACATGTAGATGAACAAGCACCAAAAAAAAATATAGGGAGGAGCATCCACTGCAAAATCATTGTCTGGAAGACCTCAATGAGCTCGAAAATGTAGTGAACTGTCATATCATAAATTGTTAAGGAAGTCAATCCTCTAACATGAAAAACTAAGCTTGAATCAGAGTGTGTGCTGTTTTCTTTTTCACAATGCCCATGGCACTTGAACAATATTTGAGGTTATCATAGGGAAATTTATTCCCTCCTGGACAAGTAGCTAAATGTGGTATTAAAACTAAGCTTGCCTCAAAGGGAGTGAAATCTCTTTATTTTTTAATTTGAATCGAAGCACACAGGACTTTATGCATTCTTAGCTAAATTATAATGTACCTTTGTTTCTTCCTCCTGTCTAAAATATCTTTCCATTTTCTCTTCTTTAATTCAAGCCATCCTTGATAATCTACATTTCTGTCAATATTTTCAGCATAGGAAGTATTGTGTTCTGGCTGTGAATCATGCACACTATCAGTTTGCTGTTCTGCAAAATTCAATTGGCCAGTTTTCTTTGCTGAACGTTTTTCATTGACATCATAACAACGAACAATTGGTCTAGGCCTATTTATAGAACTGCTTTTGATTTGGAAGTCTTCCAAATCTTTAACATTTGCCTCATCATGATTTGTGATGGTGGCATCATCCATCTTTCCGGAGAGATCATCCCTGCTGTGTAAGTTGAAGATATCAACCAATTTCCGTTGACGAAACTTGTCCTCCTTCTCACGAACTTTTCTGTGCAGCCAATCAGGATGAACTACCCTAGGAACAGGGTTCGCAACCTAAAAAGACACAATTCATTTCAAGAAGGCTACAGGAGGATACATCTGTTCAGCTGCCCAACAGACAAGCCATCTAACCTTTTGCATTGCAGCAGGGATTGTAACAATTTTTTGAATTGCTGAACTAAGTCGTTGCTTGTAATAAGACCAGTCAATGATGGAGCGGATACCAACATCTGAAGAAGTCTTGCACCATTTTCGTAAATAGAACTTCATTATTTCTGCAAAATGAAAATGTGTTCCTACTCTGTAAAGCACATAAATGAAACAGAAAGTGATCAGTGGAAAAAAGGTTGAGTTTTACCGGGATCAGTTTCAAATATTGCAACAGGAACAGCACGCTCACTAACAGGTGTTCCCTGCACACACCATAATTGATTAATTAAAACAATCTTGAACACAATCATCCATCCAAACAAAATGAAATTATATTTTAAATACTTGAAGAGGCATGGATGTAGCACTGGTAAATTGATTAATTAATCTCGACCGCTTAACCATCTAAAAAGATTTATACATGGATATGGCAGCCAAAAGATATTGTTGAATAATCAATATTAGTCAAGTGGTAGGTATGGGGTATATTGCCTTATCATTGAATGTAAGGGCCTGTCCTCCCAGTACATTAAATCATTGGGTTGATTGCCATCATGACAGGGATTTAGGAAATTTCAAGCTTCACTTGGATCAAAACATGGGGGTGTACACTCATTTTGGGTTCAAGCTTGAGCTGTATGCGTGAATAACCAAACCAAATTCAGATATGCTTGTTTTTAGCATGCAAACTGAAACAAAGTTAAACATCACAACCACATTCCAGATATAATTGGTTCTACTCAATGGTGTAACTCATAGTGTAGACTATTGCCCAAAGTCTTCTAATTAGTTCCCTTCTCAAGGTAGTTTCACATGGAAAAACAAGGTTAAATCTGTTTGGGCATGATCCAGTTAATAAACAAGCCTAAAAATGAGCAGCTTGTGTTCGTTTATTAAATAAATTACCTGAACCAAACAAGTTCTGGGATCAGACCCAGGCAGGTCATGAAGAGTTTGGTTCATTCGCAGGCATAGATACTAACAAAGCATCATAGTCTGCCATCAATTTAATTTCATTTTTGTTATTAAACCATAGAGTCAGCCCACTTGTTGCCTGGCATATGGTGAGGATGAACAATTCAACACTCGATAGTATGGCTAAATTCAATAGTCCAACATATAAATTGTGATTCTTTGATCATACTGAAACCTATCTCCAGTTGCTTAATTCCACAGCAATAGTGGAAGTAAGATGGAGCTAAAATGACAATTAACACTATAAAATTCTTTGAGCCTCATGCTCACCTAAAATAATCAGTATTCAGTGCATCATTAAGCTAAAACAAAAAGCATACCCTTGGTTCACATGCAACTATATACTGGCAACGCAATCCTTTATCTTTAACCATTGCATCACCAAGAAAATCAGCAAGACGCCTAGCAGTAGTTACTGCACATGACTTTTGTTCACCATAGTCGGACAAGGACTTGCTCATTGTGCTTGATTCAGATATGTAATCAAGCAACTCACAGTCAGCAATATCCTTTCCTTGATTCTGAAAGGAGAGTAAAACAAGAATGATACAATTAAAGGAATTTCCACTAGTAGCCCTTGAAATAATCATGCATTCAGAAACAAAACATCCTCAGTTTAAAAGGAGAGAAAGGGGCATGCCGGAGGAAAAGGAAATGGAAAAGGAAGCTCGCAGAGGAACTTTGCAGCATTGTTTATTAGGGGAGATCATTACTAAAACAAAATGATTTTTTACATACATCAAGAAGATCCAGCCAGCGGTTTGCCACAGCAGCTACAGCTGAGTAGCATTCCTCTAAGGTTGACCCATGGAGGAACTTGTCAAAAAGCTCAGCCTGCAAGCAAGAAAAGCATCTCATGCACAATCAGACGATATTCTTACTTCAATAAAAAAGATGTGGCATCTAAACACAGATTAATTATGAAAAGCATAAAGTAGAAGGAAGCATCAAGACTGAGTTATTTTTCAGAACAACTCCCTCTATAGAATACGCAAACATTCAGGTAAAGACTTTCCAGCATTTAAAGTTGCAATCACCTAAAATAAATATATTCATTTGCTCATAGTATATAGTGATAAAGACATGCATAAATGAACAAGGGGGAGAAGTCACAAGAACATAAGCCCACGCATATAAAAAGATAAAATCTAAATTTAAATGTCATCTGTCAGGAAAGCAGTGTATTCAATGAGCCCCTCTTTACTCTCTGTTAAATATAGTTTCTATAATTATCAGATTAGTCATTGGAAGTTCATGGATTCATGAGATTTTTTTATGTTGCCAATATAAAAGTCTTAAGCGAATGTGCTTCACATTTACAAATATTATCTGCTGCCACACTTTTGAAAGCTTTGCTCATAGCATATAGTGATAAAGGCATGCATAAATGAACAAGGGGGAGAAGTCACAAGAACATAATCCCACGCATATAAAAAGATAAAATCTAAATTTAAATGTCATTTGTCAGGAAAGCAGTGTATTCAATGAGTCCCTCTTTACTCTCTGTTAAATATAGTTTCTATAATTATCAGATTAGTCATTGGAAATTCATAGTTTCTATAATTATCAGATTAGTCATTGGAAGTTCATGGATTCATGAGATTTTTTTATGTTGCCAATATAAAAGTCTTAAGCGAATGTGCTTCACATTTACAAATATTTATCTGCTGCCACACTTTTGAAAGCTCAATAAGAAGCAAATGGATTTTGATGATAAAGGAAAAAAAGGAAGAAGTACATGGCATTTTTTTATGCTGCCAAGATAAAAGTATTAATTGAATGGCATGGCCGTATAATTTATAATCATATTTTTTTCCTGCATTTTGAAATAATGACTTATTTTAGATCTACAAATTCACCAAAAGCACATGCCAGTATGTTTCGCTCCTTAACTGAGACAGAAAGCTACCAACACCACATGTGCACTACAATTCAACTTGCATCTTCGTATAATATTATTTTCACATGGCCTAACTGGGGAATAGACTTCTGTGGGAATACAAAAGCTCCAGGAGAATTACATTTTTAAGAATTTTAAAGTATACAATTAATTAGTTAATCTAGAAGGAAATAATTATGGCATAACACCATAACAGTCCAACTGGTTGGGCCCAGTATAACCACCAATCTTTGAACAATCAATTTTACAGGTTGAACATTCTAGTTTTAGACCATTTTAAAAAAATCTTTTGAGATGTAGAGTTTGTAACTGCAGAACACAACAAGATGGGGAACAAGAGATACCTGGAAAACTTTGATGAGCTTCAGCTCACCTCTACGCTTGATCTCAAAACCTTTAAGCTCTGCAAGGGTTCCATCATCATTGAAAACAGCATATCGCTTCTTAATTAAAATTCCTTCTTCCTTGGAAGCAGGAAGAATCATTGCCTATATCATACAAAAACAAAATGATAACAGAATACCAAGAAAAAATATGCATTTGTAATTCAATGACAACATGACAATTCCAAATTACCTTGTATGGGCCATCCACTTCAAATTCAATTGAGCATTCACTATGAGTTGCATATGTTTTATTTACAGGGTCTACGAGTGTCTGTTTAAAAAAAAGAGTAAGAACATCTTATGATTGTTATAGTTCCAGTGAAAAAGAAACTCATGATGACATAGAGAATTCCAGAACCACCACAACAAGAAACTTGTGGAAGTAAGACATGTAGGAACATAATCTAAAAAATATAGGTCAACCTGGTATTGTTCATTTGTGTTGTTTCTTGCCACATCAACATTGAGCATAACACATGGATACGAGATTGTCAGCTTTTTCTTCGAGTCCCTGAAATTACATATTTCCCAAATGAAAGTTAACATAGAAAAGGAAAAAACAAACATTTCCAGTACTTTACGGACTAGTTTTATACAAATGAAGAAAACAAGATGCATAAAGCAATGATGACACTATCACCAGCCATAATTATGTACAGACATGCGAATCATAAAGGAGCAGCAGCTTACTTTGTTTTAAAAGTAAAGTTCTCTGGAAAACATCCAGGGAGGACACACCAAATACCATCTGTGTCCAATTCAAGTGGCTTTCCAATTTTATCAACAAGCAAACGAGCATTCTGAATGATTTTTGCTCCTGTATATGTAACTACACCAGCCATTTCCATTGAATACCATCTTGCACCCCTAAAACGCAAACAATTAAAAGTATCATGCAAACATTTCAAAGACACATGTAAACAACCAAATACATGTTATGATATCTGAAAGAAACAGAAGTCACTGACTCACTTGCGCATGACATATCCATAGAATGAATTCAGAATACATTTGTGAGCAAGTTGCAACGAATCATAAAGCACTACCATGTCCTGCAAGTATCAATAAGCAAAGGTGAAAAGTATAGGAAAGTAGCTCCATCAAAAGACAATGCAACTATCAATATTGAAAAAATTGGAGAATAGCCATACATGTGCTTCTTGGATCTTAATAGAATTTCCACTAGCCTTGGCTTCTGACAACTTCCCCTTCCAAACCTTATTAAGCCCTTTATACTCATACCTTCTATCTCGAAAGCTTGAAATAAGGAAATAGAAAAATATAAGAGGTTATTTCAAAACAAAAACATGAAGTTTCAACTATAAATAAATGTCTGTCATGCTTTCAGAAATAAAATGCAACAGTGCATAGAAAGAGATGACTGTTGAAATAAAAACTAAGCACAGAAAACTAATGACACAACAAATCCAAATTGCATACCTACGAACAGTGTCTACATAAAATGAGTTTTCCCGCATGCAGATCCCAGCTTCTCGAACTTCAGTAACAGGTTTGTCGAGTACCCGTTTATATGCCTATGGCAAGCACAAACTAGTAAGATAGGTATTGTTCATGTTAGTCAAAAAAATTCAAGCAGACAAACAGACCTTCTGACAGTATTTCTTAAGACGCTCTTTCAGCTTTGATTGTTGATCCATCTTGGAAAGATCAAGAAAAGATTTTGAAAACTGACCATCAGTGCCATCAACAAACTCGGACTCAATTTGCTTCTTCAAATGATAATAGTCACTGAAATTGTGAGAAGTGATGACCGCATGTTGTTAGCAATTATCAGCATTATTCCTGATCTCATGCCAAACAGGAAAAACAAAAACAAAAACACAAGGAGATAGAGGAAAAGAGTGAACCTTTTCTTTGCCATAAATATCTCTCCACGCCAAACCCATTCAAGCTTCCGTAGACAAGTTTTGTCTGGGCGGTTGAAGTCACAAGCAGTACAGATCTCGTCTGAAACTATAGATGGGGGCTGCAATTGAGCAAGAAACCTCACTACATGTTGATTGCAAAGATTTGTATGTGAAGGGAGAGGGATAAACAGAAAGAAAAAAAATCAAAGCCTCTCAATTATGTGTATTTTTTTATTCCGCTTCTCCATGCATGTCTGATTTGATGGAATACCTATGATGTACAAACTAGAAAGATGGTTCTCAGAAGGCCAAATGATTGCCATTAGAATTCATCAATCTAGTATCATGACATTGTACAGCATGATAATTGACTAATATCATATGGGAAGAAGGCGGGACAATGAATTCCACAACATGGAATGAGTAGCAGAGGGCAGCAGAAATGAAGCAGACACTCACATAAGCAAACGAGAAAATTCCAGTTGCGTAATGAAATAACCAACTAGCCATAAATAACAAAGACTAGTAGTGCAATGGAGTAAAATGCCAACACTCCTAAACAAAGTTCTTTCTCTTTACTGACCCAGATTTGAAGGCAAAAGGAGCCTTTCACTCTTAATACCTTCATTCAACCCAAGCTTTACATTTTTTTTTTTTCCCAAAACTATTGAATACTAGTAGAAAGGGCAATTTTAAAGCATAATATATAGAAAATATTTTTTTCAAAAACATATCTAAAAACAAAGCAAGGTACAAGCTTCTTCACTAAACTTGGAGAATTCTGTTCCAGCGATGGTCAAGATCAGTGCTGCATCATGATCATAAGATGAAACAAACATGAACAACTCCCATAAATATAGAAGAATCCTTTTGATCTAAATATTCAAGGCACTATTTCTTAAGATGTGGGGAACAAGCTTCAAGACCTATAACATTAAACCCCATACCTACTTTAAGCGTGTTTGGAAGTGTAGTTGTGGTTGCTTTTCAAAGTGATTTTCATTTAGAAAAGCATGCCAATAATATTTTTTTTATTTTTTAAAAATTATTTTTGAGATCAGCACATCAAAATAATTTGAAAACATCAAAAAAAATATTAATTCAAAGCAAAAAAAAAAATTCAAATTTTTTTGGAAGCGCTTTTCAAACACAGACCCAAATGCCCTCTTTATGTTTACTTCAGATAAATGATGGCAGGACAAAAGGCAGTCTTCTGGCTGCCTTGGTTCAGATTCTAAGTTACTAAAGGAAACATGATGAGGTTATCAAACTGCATCTTATCATCAATTAAAGCAAATTAAGCATTAGATGGTAAGACCTATAAATACTTCTTATCATTTCCACATATTTCCAATACATGATTATGGCAAGTCAAAACTGTCTGATTGTTTATAACACTTATTGGATTCCAATTACATGGACTTTAAACAGCACAGCTCCAACTTTGCTCATAGTGCAAATCCTATATTAATATAATGGACTGCTGCATATTGCATTCAAGTATACATCGATATTGAATCTGACATTCAGTTATAGATACACCATTTTCATCCCATACAGCCAACCACCAATTTTTCACACCAAACACTATTTCCCCATGCTGATATACTAACCAAAATGCAAAGATAAACAAAATTAAAAAAAACATGAATTGTTAAAAAAAAAAAAAACTACTATTTGTACTTATTAGCCATCTTACCTGAAGCCTGTTTGTTAAGATAATGTTTGGATACATTGCAGCCACATCAAGATGATAAATAAGTGGACATTCATCACGAACAGGTTCATCTCTCAAACACACTAGCTGAACAAGAAGAAACATTTCAGGAATGCATGTTATCCTCTCGATATTTGTTCTTATTGCATGTAATTGTGTATCTAGGCTATAACATATCTTTCCCAATATTCCATGGAACATGAAGATGGCAACACCACAATTCAGGGGAAAAATGGAATAATTAAGTAAAACAAATAGTTGACAACGTAAGACAAATGTCTGCATAATTGATAGCACAAGATAAAGGATTGTGAGTAAGATTTTTTGTCCATGTGATAACAGGTGAAGATCTTATTAGAAGGAAGAGAAACCAGGAACATCCTCCAAAGAGCAAATCAAAACAAGAAATAATAAAGAATACAGAAATCCATAAACAAGAGAGGCCAATCAAATCAAATCAAGCAATGTTGAGAACAGTCATGGCATAAGAACGAAAACATTTGATTTGAGAGAGAGTTTCAGCACCTTTTCCATGATAGCATTCTTCACTTCATCATAATTGGAGATTGAATCCAGGTCCATTTTACCCTCTACTCTTATAGAATATTGCAGATCTCGATCAAGGTTTTTGATAAGTAGCTGGAAATCAAAGTGCCCCAGCATCAGCCAAGTAGGAACTATGATGTTAATTATGAAATTGTTTACTAAAAAAGAAATATTGAGTCAGGCCCAGACAGAGAGATTGCCTTGGCTAACATGAGCTGAAAATGAATCCTATTCAAGAAAATAATTTTCATAACAAAACAATACGCATTAATGTATTCAGGCACATAAATCATTTTATTGAAAAAATTTAAAATGTTCCAACCAGAAGGAATGGCCCCTCTGCAGAATAAACGCACAGGTGAAAATGACACCTGAGAACATAAAAAATAAAGTAGTATTTGGCGTGTTAGTCTTATCAATTGCTTGAAAGAAACACTCACTTCATAAGCAGAAGGATCAAGCTTAAAACTGGTTGGAAGATCAGATCTGAAAACACCACTTTCAAGGCACTCCACATGACCCCCTATATATGTCTCGCTCTCAAGAAGGTGACTCTTATAGAACTTCTCTTGGTCAGATTGGTGCTTGTTAGGGCAGATAACATTAGCCATATACGCCTGCAGAAAATGCAATAAAGAAGTGAGAGACAGAAGGAAACTTAGCACAATGAACAAGCACCATAGAGTTCACAAGAACCCACCTGCACCATCAGAAGCATTTCACAAAGTGTCCCACTACCTTTGCGTAAGACCTCATCTGGTGACATAGGAATTATGGTTGCGAGAGAGAAAATGAAGGGATGCACATAGGTCATGTACAAATAATAAGTTGCAACAGCATCAGAAACCGAATAGGAGGCCATCATCTATAATAAATTATGCAAAAACAAGACAGTATTAGGATTTATTCAATGTAGAGAATGAAGATTAAACAATCTTAACTTGGAAAGAAAAGACCATCGAGCTGTGATTCATGGAAAGAATGCAGAGGGGGTGAAAACCGACAGTGCTCATTGCCAAAAAAGAAATGCACTAGTCAAAAATGTTTCAGGGCAAGTTTCTTTGGTTTCCACAAACTAATACCTGAGGCTTTTCTTTAGCAAAGCGAACCATGTCCTCTGGATTCACCTCAAGTGGATCATAACCCAACTTTGCCTTTGTAACTGCCTGAAACAGATTAAAGAAAAGAAAGTTAGTAACTTCTCGATAAATAATAAATAAAGAGATACAGCAAGCTTACTTGCATAAGTAAACTACAAATATTACAGGAGTAATATAAATGCAAAGTGCAATATTCCCCGCCCAAAGACTAAGGGTGTTATTCAGGCAATTTAGTCTTCCAGTCCTAAGAGGCTTTCAACCAAAAGAACTAATAGAGCATTTTAGACATAATCAGAAATAATCACAATTATAGATCAGTTTACCTAAACTACTTCTGTATCAGTTGAGTCCATGTCATATAAGACATGACTTGTTCCATACTAATCATGATATGCGAAACCCTTCTTTCCTATCCAAGTTCAGGATCAACCATGCCTAACAAGTGACAAACTAAAAAATAGGCTTCCTTTATAGAACATACTTTTTTTCTCAGGATATGGATTAGTCCTTTAGAGTCTTCAAAAATCCATGTACTCCACTTGTTCAAACCAAAAGGATCACAAGTGAGTGTTTGTTGGGGTATTGAGATACTCTCAAGCAAAGAAATGCAAAAGAACTTGATGCATTTAATTCACTAGGTTTTACTTCAGAATTGTAACTTCACATGCAATTTCCCAGGTTGAAGAATATTTATTTGACATAACCAAAAAAAAAACAGTGATCGAAAAGTAACCATAAGACAAACACATCTGTCATGCAAAGAATCATGCATTAGCTACATATCCTCTTAACAGAATTTTTCAATGCATGAGAAACTACTTGGATATATCCAATCATGAAAACTTATATGATGAATAGGAGAACAAATTCATTGATGGTTCCAACTTAACACAGAAAACATTTCTAACAGCATTGCTCAAAGTATTACTCAAAAGTTACGCTAATGATTGAAAGTGCATGTAATCTTCTGCTGGATTGTGGGTGCATAAGAATAAACTCAGAGTCTAATGTCAAAAATAAATGTTTGCACCTTAAGGCCTTGGCTTCCCTGAGGCAAATAACTATCACGTTTGACCCAAGCAAAACAATCCAAATGGCAAGCAAATTTAGCACGGCACTCCCCTTGATTCTTGTCACATGAGAATCCAACCTCCTGAAAGCTCAGTTAAGAAAAACAGGAAAAAAAACGTAGCAATAAGTTAAACACTCAACATAAAAATAAGCATGAATAGATTGATTTATAATTGAACTTCAGAAATACGAACTGTCATCCTTGAGATAGAAAAATGAAAATTTCTAACCTCAAAGCAAGCAACAATTAACAAGTTCAGAGAAAAAAAATTAGCTAACAATGCTTTTGAAAAGGAAAGGATAAAGTGAAGCTTCCCAGAGAAGTTAAATCAAACAATCCTCCAGAAGTAAATGTACAGGAAAATTTATTTTCCTAGAAAAACATCGCTGAATTTTTTCTCACAAAACAGGAAAGACAATGCCAATTCCTATAGTTTGAATTTGCCATTTTTTGTCTAACAACCAGAAAAAAGGAGATCATGTCCCATCAAAAGAATCAGGTTTGTAGGAAAGAAACTGAGCAAGAGTAGCTTTAGATTTTTCCCTCTCTATTTCATAGTTAGTGAAAGCACTGGAAGATGAACGCCTGAAGACTAAACCTTAGTGTTACTTATCACAGTTATGTACCAAGAGATAAACTGATAACAGATAAGAATAAAGTGAAGCCAAAAAAATACTAAAAAAATAACAAAGTCGATTATTAATCTGTAGGGAGTTTATGCAAATAACAAAAAGCACAGTGCTTGGGTTTATCTGATGTTGTTAAAGTTGTGACTTTTTATCAATACAAACAAGCTAAAATGCTGAACTCAGAGTTCCAAGTGGATGCAACAAGAAAAGGCTGCTCACATCACTCATCTTAAACCCGTGATAAGCTGCTCTGCTTTCCAGGAAGGGCCAGTCAAAATAATCACCATTGTAAGTAACATAAATACCAGGCTTCACCTCTCGCATGTGGGCAAACCATTGTTTAAGAAGCTCAACCTACAAGCAACCACAAGTCACACACAAACAAAAGGATGTGCTACAGTGCAACTAAACAGAGAACTTTCATTACCTCATTTTTCACATTTGTCACTTTGAAACAGCCTTCATATTCAGGTTTTGGTGTATATTCTAAATCCTCTATATCTTCCCCCACGCACTGAAGATTAGAGTAAAACACATAGATGTCAAGAGTTCAAATAAACAGATTGAGAATGAAAGAGAAGAGATGGGGAAACAAATGGACAACCTAAGAAATTGTGTTAATTCAGAAAGAAAATGTTTACATTAAACTGCTCTATTTATCAACTCAGGATAGATTTTAGGATAGTGATGTAGTGCAACTAAATGGATGAGAAATAATCAAGAGCCATTCACTTCAGTTTTTTAGGTTTATAATCCATGAGAATAGTTTCAGAAAAATGTCAACAATAGAATTAGAGGAGTTCCAAGAAAGCATTTTCAGTGCAGTTCAATCTAATGAAATGATGTTAGTTTAGCACCTACCATTGCACCCTAAAGCCTAGCAGACTCATCGGTTTTTGTATAAAGTGTTTCAATTATAGCATGGGATGGTAAACTAAAAGGCTGTAGAATAACTCGAAAATATTCACCAAAGGTAGGTGACAGCCACACAAGAAAATCTAACTAAGGTCATTTAAGATGGTTCAGTCAATTATATGCAACATAGACCATTATATTGTCAAATAAGGAAAACTGGCTGAGCTGCAAGTTCAGGGGACAAAAAGGATGAGGAAGACAAAGTGAAGTGGTTTGAGGGTATAAGAGGAACATAATTTCTGAACTCACCACAGAGAATATGACCCTAAGCAAGGATGAATAAAGAAACAGCTTCAGGCAACTGACCACAACTAGTTTAGGACTAAGTTAAAGTTGATTTGTCTAGATGTTAAACCAGTCATATAAAAAGCATGCATATATATACATATATATCAATTGCAATATCCTACAAATTTACCAAAGAGTTTTTTACATAGAAAGTTACAGCCTTTAATGCACCGACACAGGTGATGGTATGTCCCTTTACATGAATGAAACTTCAGATTTTGTGATTAGATGATAAAGTGAAAAGAAATCCTCGGGCAACACCCATACAAGTCCAAACTTGTCCAAACTCATCAGAACCATATCATATCCCACTTTCATTTTACAATAATCATACATTCTCAGGCATGTCTTCACACACAAAAAAAAACAAAAAAACAAAAACATGCATACAAGCCCAGTGGATGAATCTGCTTGTAAATATAGTGAATGAGTAGTGCCAATTGCACTCAGCAAAGATGTATTGAGATAACTGCTATATAGTTGTTAAATAGTGAAAGGCTCTGAGAATGAGAACATGTGCCACAAAGAAGAATCACAAAATGCCAATTTTCTCAAAAGATGAATAAAATAGAGAAGATAAAACCCATCTTAGATACCTCTCTGTTGGTAATCAGATAACCTTGTCCATCAACCATGTATGATATCATCATTATCAAATCATATTCAGCATCTGGAAATTTCAAAGGAAGCTTGGTTGTTTCAATATCAAATGCGCAAACATGAACCTCAGCACGTTGCAGAAGATCTGTCCTCTTCTGAAGCATGACACCAGTACTAGAGACACTAACATCATACCACTGGCCACAACGTATATCTGAAAACCATGAAATTCTGGGGTTTCATTAATAGAATATGCAACTTCATATGACTGCACAAAAATTATATCATAAATTAGTTTAAAGACCAGCAGGATTGCATAAGAAATACCATTATCAATGGCAAAGCGAACATGGTATGGGACATCATACTCCCGAAGGTCAATGATGCAATCAAGAAAATCCTGAGGTCTTTGTTCCCTGCTAGTCAAACAACAAATTAGAACCAACACCCACCGAAGAATAAGATGCAAAAGTTCAGGGCTATGCTTGCATTAAAATCGCCTTGTGAAAGACAGGCAGTTGTTTACTGAAGAAGGGATCTATTAACATTTCAAGCATGACAACTTGTTGCTTCATGCATATGAAATGTAAAGTAGGACCAGCAAGCTTTTACCTTTTTCCTGTTAGTATGGACTCGTATGCTTCTGCTGCATCAGACTTTGCCTGATTTCTTTCAACAACATGCAACAGATCTCTCTTGACATCCATTAATTGTTGTACGGTAGCAAAAGATATTTTTAAATATGATTTGTGTAAACCAGACAAATGGTTTTTCTGTCAAGGAACATGCAAAAGAAATCAGGCATCATTAGCTTGGCAGTGAATGCAGAATAACAAGGAAGCAACCACGCTGATAACAGAAAATGATAGATAATGTTAATCAGCAGGTTGAAACAAATCCTATTCATCTTACCAGGGACAAATATGAGTTGTACAGAGATAAAGAAAACATATAGATTAAAATGTTATTTCAACTGAAAGGAATGAAACTACGGAAGAATCTCAGATATACACAACAAGCAGCTGTGTGCATAAAATATATGATGTGTTGTTTTTGCATCTTTCGTGAAATATAGTTCTTCTTTGAACAAAAAATCTACACGTGAAGTAATCAAAAAAAGAGAACCTTGTGATTATTTAAAACAGCAAAGGGAACAAACAAGTTTTCAAGGAGCATAATAGCGGATGCAACTAATTCTGCTATCTATGATCTTTTCAATAGCTTTTGTATCATATTGTCCTTCCATTCTTTCTGCCACAATCATCCCCAAAATTCTAACTGCAAACCAATGGTAACTGATTAATTCCAATTTAGATGTTGCAGGGCATGGTCAAGTCATAAAATATAGAGTCAAAAGTCCAATGACTCGTACATCAAAGCCTTGATTGTTCTGACAAATAATTGTCCCTGTGATCACAAATTTGTGAAGGATTAATAATACCATTGTTTATCCCTCTATGGAATGAAAGTTTTCTTTGTTCATTTTAAGGGGAAATGAGAATGGTAAACCTGTCATCAGTAACGGTTGAATTATCTAGGAATATAGCTGTTTGCTGATAAGTCTTGATGCTAGTAGCAGGGTTACTCCCAAGAACACTTCAATCCTAAGGAATTTAGTTGTATAGTGACCAGTTTTAAGATAGCCTCTCCTAGAACATTTTTCCCTCAAGGATCTAAGTAGATTGTGAGTTATCTTCTTGTTGGCTTTGGAAAGGTGCTTCCAGGATTTAGCGGTGAGGCACTTCACTCAGAAGTATCATCCTTAGTGATAAGCTCAGGGTTGCATTTCTCATTTTAAAATTGAGCAGAAAGTTTTCAACTTCTCCTCCTTTGTGAGAGTTAAGTTCAGTACCCAGGGGATATTGATGCATCCAATCTCACATGTGATTTTGAGATCCTAGCTTAGTGATTCCTAGGAAACTTTAGAACTTATTCTACCACTCTGCTTGTATTTGTTAGTGATCTAGGTTTTAATTCTGCTTGTACGTAGTTACTTATCTAGGTTCTACTACATGCATCTAACATGGTCCTGTAGAGTAGCCCTAAAACATTCCAATTTTCATGCACCAGGTCTGCCTCAAAACATGTCACGTCGGTTATAAACACCCCTATTGCTAATTTCAAAATCCCAAAAAATAAGAACCTCTGTGTGGAAATTATAATTATGAGATAAACCAATCATTTCAGAGCACCGTTGAAGCTTTAAAATTGTCCCAAGTCGTGACAGCAGGCAGAGGAAGCAAAGAAAAGAAAATGTGATCACAAAAGAGATACAACCTAAACAAATATAAATCACAGTTTAAAGGCATAAGGCTAGCAATGCATTAAAAATTAAAAGAGAATGAGGGAGAGAGAAAGTCACTCACAAGATCTAAATCCTCCTTCTCTACAATCTCAATGTCAGCAATTTGACTTTCATATCGCCGTCGCAAATAGCCCTCCACGTCCATTTCCATTTTCTCCTACAACATTTGCAATTTATAACCACATTACCAACAGCATCAGACAAGCATTTCTAACTGAAATCAAAACTCCAACAAAACAATAAAAAGATATAATCAAAGGCAGAAAAAAAACAATATACCTTCGTAGCCGCATAGAAGTAAGGACGGAACTTGTACTTCGATTTGAAAGCCGAACCATCCTATAATTCGAGAGAGATAGTAGTTCAAGTAAATAAAAAATAAAATAAAATAATTCAAGAATTGTAAAAAACAGTTAGAGATTTATGTAAAGGTTCTTCACCTGAGAAACGAAGTAGAGATCGACGCAACTATAGACTCTACCAGTCTCCTCATCATCCAAAGAAGACTGCAAATCATTAAAGATTAAAAAAATAAAAATAAAAATAAAAAATTTATTATTATATTGAGGTGACAAAAATTAGGGAAAGAAAAATTATTATTATATTGAGGTGACAAAAATCAGGGAAAGAAGTTCGATTGACTTACGGAAGAGAAAGTAAGGAGCCAACCGAGACGTTTATCACCTTCAGTGAAGAGATCAAAGCCGAGCTTGGACTCCAACTCTTCTTCAGCGGTGCGCATCAGCTTTTGCTTCTTCGAGCTCCGCCGTAGGTCCTTGCGGTCCCATCTCCGGCTCTCGCCGTTCATTTTTAGGATCTTGATGAGGTTTATAGTGGAGAGACTGCGATTTTTAGTGAGGAAGAGGAATGGGTTTGGAAAACCCTTGTGGACTGTGAAGGGATTGGGGATGTGATGCCGGGAGGGTGAGGTAGAGAGGGATCCAGCATTTTCCCGCCCAAATGCGTTGCCCTTAATTTTAATTTCTTAATTACGTAAATGTCCCTATGTAATGATGTAAATTGCAGAGTCCGTATTTTGTAATGACGTAAATGTCCTCTCTTTCATTGCTTTTCTCGGGTGGACCAGGAAGCCAAGGGACAGTGGGGAGAATGGATGTGCGGCGGCATTAACTGTGTTATGCTGTGATGATGAGTCGTGATACATTTATATGGTTTTGTCTATTTTGATTTTCTAAATTCGGATATTCAAGTTTTTATTTTTAAATCAATCTCATTAATATATTAAGTGATTTTTTAAAATATAATTGTAATTATTTTTAAAAATGAATTTTTTATTAAAATATATTAAAAAATATTTTTTATTTTAAAAAAATATCAACACATCAAAACAATTCAAAATATATAAAAAAAATTATTTTTTAACAAAAAGATAAATATTATAAAAGCACATATACAAATACATTTTCAAACGCTACATAAGCTTAGTATGTTATGGTTGGACTTAAGGAAAAGTTTGTTTGGTATTGTCTTGCATAAGTATTTTTTTAAAAAAATAATTTTTTATTTTTTAAATTAATCATTTTTTTATATTTTTAAATCATTTTAATATGTTAATATAAAAAATATTAAAAATATTATTTTAATATATTTTAAAATAAAAATACTTTAAAAAACAATCAATCTTTAAATACACTCAAAACATGACTTCGCAGGTCACAACCAAAAACATTGCAAGAGTATCTTGCTAACAAATTAGCTGTCTTGTTGCTTCATTTATGAGTATATATAATACTGAGACATAAAGCTTTATTAAATGTCTGTTTGAAAGTATAATTATAGTTTTTTATTTTAAAATATATTAAAATAATTATTTTTATTTTTAAAAGCAACTTATTAAAAAAATTTAAAATATATAAAAAATCTAACTTTTAACAGAAAAAAATTTAAAATTTATAAAATTTAGACGTTGCTAAAGAGTAATAACTGCCCGCGTTTCTAAACACTATCCACGCAAGATGGGCTGATTGAGCTGCCGTCCATTGCTCATAAAGCTCCAACCCCAATCCGACAGCTCTATTAGGCGAAAGTATTTAGTGTAGAATTCCACATTCGATCATTACGTTGTCTCCGAGTAACCCAAGCCGCCAACGCAGCCTTGCACGCCTCCTCCCCACTACCTCCTAAGTTCAACTGCAAAAAGACATACTCTCTAAATGCTTGCGGCATTGCCGTGACTTATTGGATGTTCATCTCCTTCCAGCAAGCATTTACGAAGTGACACTGCACGAGAACATGATCTGTAGACTCATCATTTGGCCCACATAAAATACACCTGCCATCTTCAATATCAACTCCCCGCTGCCTTGGATTCAATCTAGGGTTAATGCTGATGTACAAGCCCTCCAAAGAAAGAACTTGGTTTTAGGTGGCAGCTTAATATTCCACAATTTCCTCCAAGGTCCCGCAATACTTTCCTCCAAATCTGGCTTCTCAATCTCCAGCGCAACCCTGTAACCTATTTTGGCCGAATATAACCCTTTCATGCTAAAAGTCCTCGTATCTTCAACAGCCGAATTTGTTAAGGGATCGAGTGCTTACCAATTGCCAATACATCTCGTGGAAGAAACAATGTTTCCAAGAGATCCCAATCCCCACCGTCTCTCTTCAGGTAACATGAGATCACAAACTCTCAGATTTTCCAAACCATCAATTACTGGAGTTCCAATAAATCTACATGAGACCTCCCCGATCCATGCCTCATTCCACACATTTATAACCTTCCCTGAACCAACTCGTTATCTACACCCCTCCTAATCAACTCCTGAGAACAAAGGATGCTACGCCACACATGACTAGCTAGGATCGTGCCCTAGTTTGGCATTTAAAAAGTCCCCTCTAGGGAAATATCTAGCCTTGATAATCTTGCTCACTAATTAAGAGTGAGGTTCAATAAGCAGCTGTTTTCCTAGGAGAGACAAATTGATACAGTGTAGATTCCGAAAACAACCCCCCCCTCCTTCTGCATAATTTATCCCATCTAAGCCATCTGATACCAGACCACCACTGTGATTACTACGTACCCCCACCAGAAACTGTTTAAAATGTAACTCTTCACAGAACGTACGTAATAGGGAGAAGAAACATCCCCATTGTGTAAGCAGGTATAGCCCGTGCAACTGAATTAATCTTTACAGCCTTGACTGCCTTAGAAAGTACTGTACGACCCCTCCAACCATTTATCGATCCGCTTCCATAACTTATCTCTAATAAAGGAGAATATCACCTTCTTATTCCTCCCTGTAAGTGAAGGGAGTCCCAGGTATCTCCCATGATTTAATGGTGTGTGAACAGCTAGTATGTCAGAGATATATTGCTTACATTCAATTCTGACAGTAGAACTGAAAAAGATGACTTCTGGAGGTTAATCGATTGACCCGAAGCTTCCTCGTATTGCTGTAACAGAAGCTTCGCCGTGTTGCTTTCCTGGGCATGGGCCCGAAAAAATAGAAAGCTATCATCTGCAAAAAATAGGTGAGACACTGAAGCAGCCAACCTACTAATTTTACAGCGATGGATATATAGCCCCACTGTGTTCAGCCTTGTTGAACAAAGCTGATAATCCTTCACTGCATAAGATAAATAAATATGGACAAAGAGGATCTCCTTGCCTTAAACCACAAGCAGGAGTCACAGGACCAACTTATCTGCCATTCAATATAATAGAATAAGACACCTGTGTAACGCATAGCATGATTAAGCCCACCCACGACTACGCAAACCCAAGTCTCAACATCATCCTCCTTATAAAACTCCAGCTAATGCCATCATAGGCCTTCCTAATATCGATCTTGAGAGCCCCCACTCCTTTCCTACCCTTAATAAGCCTCCTTATGTAATGAATAGATTCAAATGCCACTATTACATTATCTGTAATTGCCCTTCCTGGCATAAAGGCTGCCTGGTTAAGAGACACAATGTTCGGCAAAATCACCTGGATCATGTTGGCTACATTACATCCGCTGCCATTTGGAAAATTGCCACTTTGAATTCCTTATCTACAAATGGGGTAGAGAGAAATTCGTTGTTTTCCTTTGTACACATGGCTCAACAATAGCAGTAACAGCCTCAACACTATCCACCCCCTGCTCAAACAACCTACCACAATAATTGATCACCACCACATCCCTCATTCCTTCATTCACGTTTTCATGCACCGTGCCCACTTCATCTGTGAGTCTATTCAACTTCTTCCTTTTCTGTCTGTCTGACGCAGCACTATGGAAGTATTAGGAATTCATATCACCCTCCTTTAACCAAAACTGTTAATATTTATAAGAAAATATTATTTGAAGTATATCAAAATATTTATATAAGGGATATGTCTTGAAAATTTTATGGAAAGAAAAAAGATTTAGTAACTGGAACGTCGATTGACCGAATAACATGATTGAAACAAAAGAAGAAAATGGGAAAATTTATGGAGATAAACAAACATGATTTTGCATCTATATTCTGTGCTTTTTAATCTGGAGAGATTTAGAAAATGAAAGAAAGAATAATTGCACATATTAACAATAATAATGGTAAATCTTCACAGATTCTCTGAACTTTACCAGTATAACCTGCATTTTGATTGTAATGAAAAGCTTAATGAAGTCTAGTGTAGAAAATCTGGCACCAGAATGTCTCTTGCAGTAAAAAAAATTTCTTTAAGTTTTTTTCTCAGCGAGAATTAAAAATGCTAAATTAATCATGAATGTTTAGCTAATTTAAAGATAATAGGTCTCATTTGTTTTTAATTAATTATGGATTTTTATTTTTATTTTTTTGGATTGAGAACAAGCTTAAAAAATGAAAAATCATGCTTAAATAAACAGGAATTAAATCTATTAACTATAAAATGACAAGACGAAGCAGTATTTTTATAGATGGCCAGGGGCCTGGATAATTACGAACCATGAGCCGAAATACGTACATTAAATGGGTGACGCACCTAGCCCAATGGACCAATAATGATACCTTGAGGAGCTTGTTACGAAATCCAGATTCCATGAACTACATGAAAATTCTACACGGTATTTCCCTTCGCAGAGGAGAGATCATCTCGGGCACGTGGACTTGTCTAAATTTAAATGTGTTGATGCGCCGATGAGTTTTGAAATCATGGCTACAAGGCAACATCAATTTTGTTTCGGGTCATGGTAACTTCAGCTGAAATTAAAAAATATATTTATCATCTCCGCAATATTATCCGAACACAAAAATATTTAGGATTCCACATGCTATGTGGATAGACTAGATATTTTACCGTGATTTATTATGAATTACATTTTTTTTTACTAAAAACTTTATATATATACTTTTCCAACACATTTTTGCATTTAAATGTTTTAAGTGAAAATTAAAAAATTTATACATATATATAATCAAATAAATTAAAAACTATACATATTAATAAATAAAAAACATAAAAGATAACTAAAATAAAAACTGGAAAAATCAAGAGATATTTATAAACTAAAATTTTTAATTTTACAGTACATGATATTTATACAATTGTGTTTGTTAAATTTATTAATTAAAATAATTTTTTATTTAATCAAAAGATAATAAAAATAAACACACAATAAATTGATTAGATAAAATAAAATAAAATAATATACAAAACTGTGCATATTATAAATATTATTTGAAAATAAATTTATTTTTATTTTTAAAAATGAAGTTCATCTATACAAGAAATTAAAAAATATTAATTAATTAAAAAAACCTTTTAAAAAATTAAAAACACAGTTTAAAAAATCATCATTATTTAAAAGATATTTTTTAATAACATAGAAGAAAAAAAAGATATTAATTTGAATATAAATATTTAGATTAAGTTTAAAACATATAAAAAAATATGTTTTTTTAAACTGATAAAATTTATGGGATAAACTTAGATCACAAACTCAACTAAGTTTAATATTTTTTTTTCTGTGAGTTTATAACAAACCTTAAAAAAAAATATCATCCATAATAACAATATGCCTGCACGGTATTCATTCCATGCGCTGTAGCTTATTTATAATGTACTTATATCATGAATAATATCCTTCCTTTTAATTTACAGCAAACCCAAAAGAACTGAACAACATCATTCATGGTAAAACACAAGGGAATGAATACTGTGACCTCACTGTGTTTATTTCATATATTTTTCTCTCAAATTAATAACAAGTAAAAAAATAATAAACAATAACATTTACAATAAAATATTAAGAGATGAACAGTGTGATTACACAATATTCACCTCACATATTTCATATTATAATTAATAGATAGTTTATATATATAATAGAAAGAATACTGTGGACTATAACATTTTTTTCACGTAATTTTAAATTATAGGTGATAATTTATCAATATTTTATCCCGACATGAAAAAAATAAATTGATCACAGTGATATTTCAATTCTGGTCATCTATGACAATGGATTATAGCACGGGAGTTTGTGTAAAAATTTCGGGTATTTTAGAATTTGATAAAAGTTACAGGAAAGTAACACCAATTATAAAAAAAAAATATTATAAAAGTTATGCAATTACAATTCTTAACAGCTGTTAAGTTGAACAGTTATTTCAAATGGTGGCTGAGCACAATCGCTATTGAAAATTTCAGTAGTTATAATTCATTAAAGATTTTGTTTAAGGTTACTTTATAGTTAATTACAATTTTTTAAATATTTTTTTAAGATGCAATTAAAATTATTTTATCAAATTTTTTAACAATATTGAATATAATAATGATAGACATCTGATAATTTTTTATTTTTTTTCATTTCATTTCTCTATCTTCTCAATTCATTTTATCTCGACTTTTTTTTTTATTATTTGTCAATTATATCTTCATAAAGATTCTAGTTAACTTTTATTTATGCTAATTAATTTAAAAATAAAAAACATGCCTTGAAACATGACCAATACATCCACTATATAAAATATCACGGGTACAAAAACATAATCCAAACCACAATTGAAAAATAATATTTTTAAATACTATTATATTTAAACTGTGTTATTTTATAAATATTTTTTATTTTTTATTATAAATTGATATTTTTCAGTATTTTCAAATCATTTCATTATAATAATATCAATTTTTAAAATTTTTAAAATAAAAAATACTTTAAAAAATAACAATTATTATACTTCCAAATACCCAAAAAAATCATTACACCCACAAAGCGGTTTCCCATTGACTTGTCATAGGGATAAACCTTAACCGTGACAGATACATTCCTCTTTCTTCAACCAAACATAGAAACAACAAAACCAGGGACACAACCGCCAAAAGAAAAAATGAACGGACAAGATTTAATCACGAGAACTCATACTTCAAAAGCCCTATATATACTGGCTTGTAAGCGGTGCCATCCTTCCCAGCCTTCAAAAACCCTAGCAAGTACCAGTCTAGCTATTTGCTTCCAGCCCCTCTTCCTTAAAAAACAATGAAGGTTGTAGCCGCTTACTTGCTCGCCGTTCTCGGTGGCAACACCTGCCCTACCGCCGAGGACTTGAAGAACATCCTCGGATCTGGTAATCTCCTCTCCCTCTCCACATTATGTTTTCCTTTTCCCGTTACTAGATCCTTACATCTTTTTTGGAAAAATGATCGTTTTTTTGGTCTTTGGATTTGCAGTTGGTGCAGATGCTGATGATGACAGGATTGAGTTGCTGTTGTCCAATATGAAAGGAAAGGACGTAACTGAGCTGATTGCTTCCGGAAGGGAGAAGTTGGCTTCCGTCCCTTCCGGTGGTGGCGTTGCTGTGGCTGCCGGTGGAGCTCCAGCTGCTGCTGCAGGTGGTGCTGCCCCTGCTGCCGAGGCAAAGAAAGAGGAGAAAGTTGAAGAGAAAGAGGAGTCTGATGATGTAAGCGCCATTTTTTATTTTCATTTTTTTGTATTTATGAAATTGATTTTTATTTGGTTTTTGCTCTGTTGGTATTAAGTTTTGTGACTGACTGAATATTTTGTTACTGTTGTTGCAGGATATGGGTTTCAGTCTATTCGATTAAGAGGTCCGGTTTTGAGGCGGTCTTGTTTTTCATTTCTCTAGTTTTGTAGTTGGATAATTTACAAGTTTTTTATTTAGTTTGGTACTATGATATCAAGACTTTGTTTGAGCTTCAGATTTTTGAATTTAAGATAACGGAGTTTAATGTTAAATGTTTTCAATATAATTGTTAATTTTGGATTTTGGTTATGGGATTGTTTGCTGGTTTTGTTGTTGTTTGTAGTAGATTCGTGGAATGATTTGTTATTGCTGTTGTTGGGAGCATTCATATTTTCGAGAGTGTTTCAATAGTTGGTTTGATGGTTTTGCCTATTTTCACAGCATTGTGGGTTTCATTTTCATGCCTGATGTGTCATGGTATTGCTTGCTGTTTTTGTTTTTTGTTTGTAGTAGATGCGTGGAGTGATTAGTTGTTGTTGTTGCTGGGATTGTTCATATTTTCACTAGTGTTTCAATAGTTGGTTTGATGATTTTGCCTATTTTTACAGTGTCGTGGATTCATTTTCATGCCTGATTTGTTATGTTGCTGATATTAATCAGGCTCTGTATTTTCCCGTGTTTATGGTGATCTTTGTTTAATGGTTTTTCCAAATTTGACAGTGTTGGCGGTTCTCGTTCTGTGCCCATTGTATCATGTTGTTTGTGGCGATTAGGGTTTGCATTTTTTTCATTGCATATTTTCATGAGAAACGAGAATCAGATTGTTGATTGTTCCTTGTTTCTGCCTGCTAGTCCTTCGAGACATAGGAAGCGATTAGGAAACACAACTGGCTGTGTGTTTTCAAAACTTTTGATTTTTTATGTTTTTAGATTGTGTCGTTAACAATAAATTTGAAAAAATGAAAAAAGTAGATCATTTTAAAAGTAATTGTTATTGCAATGCCAAATATTAGGTACATTGTTATGAGTTTGTTAATCTTGGTCATAGGAGTTTGTGCGTTGAGTCGAAACCTATAGATAAATTGTTATTGCAATACCAAATATTAAGTACATTGTTATGGGTGTTAATCTTGGTCATAGGAGTTTGTGCGTTGAGTCGAAACCTACAGCTAAATTAGGCGTAGTTTTAGGATGTGGGTTCCCTTGTGCATTGGCTTTTGGAAACAAATTTGAGATTGCTGTCGTTCTGCCAAATCATAGCATTCTGAGTTCATTTGTAACTTGAAAGTTACCTACTGTCCTCACCAGATGAACAATCATTTATGGGGGAACCCGCAACTGTTTGACGGCGTAATATTACCATGGATGTGTTTAGTTAGGAAAACTCTCTGTTGAACTTGTTGCTTGATGCAAAACAATAATAATAATAATTAATAATTAATGTGTTGTTACCCGGTTCATGCTTATGATTGGAAGAGGAGTTATCTAATTTGTCATAAAGCCCTGCTGCCGTTAGTGTCTGCTTGTGCAATAGTCATTTTATGCTTTGAACTTTTTGACTGAACTTAAAACTCGGCGAGTCCTTCTTTCTTTGTACTTTAGAACTCCGTTTGCATTGTTTTCGTGCCTGTTAGGCGTTGCGGACCATTGGTTATTGCTTTGGATTGTTATGATGTTTTTGTATTTTTCAGTGAAAATCACTCGCCACTTAGACAGTGATATATTCAAAGTCCAAACACTAGATAATGAGGTTTCTCAAGGGAAGCTTGAGAAACTTGCCTAAGCTTTCAAGTAGATCAGCAGAAAGCAATGTCTTTGCTCTGTGATTTGCAAGATTTTAGCCATTTTTTATGAAGCACAAAAACCTAATGGACTCAATCTAAGTAGATCAAGTGACTCACGTTAAAAAATTAGTCATTTTTTTCAACTGATGTCCAAAAGAAAAGGCCACTGGGGGAGGAAAAATATATGCATAAATGCAGCCCTGTAATCTTCTGAACAGGGCCAGAACAGTTAATGCCTGTGAATTAAGGTTTGTTTCTGTTTTTTAAAAATTTAAATTTTTTTATTTAAAATTAATATATTTTTAGTATTTTCTGATGTTAAAAATTATTTTTAAAAAATAAAAAAATTATTAACATGAAAAGTTATTTAAAAAATAAAGTAAGCATAAATGATGTAGAAAATAAAAGCTGCTGTTGCATGTGTCAAACATCTGGGCTCGTTTCTAATTTAAACTCGTGGAAATGATAAAGGCTATAATTGTTGTCTACTTCGGTTTCACAATTCCTACTTTGATTTCACAATCCATTTCCCTACTCTCAATCTTGTAATATGTAGTTGGTTTCTGTAATTTTTTACTGGGCACAACAATCACACCGCCAAATCAAACTGGATTGTCCTCTCATTTCTTTTTGAATTTTGCCCTCATTCCCTTCGGTGCTTTGCTTAGGATGACAATCAAATGTGTTGTCCTGTATATGACTAAACCTTGTACGAGGATGTTATTTTTCGAGAGAGACGTTGGATTTCAGATTTGCTCATTACGGTTCCTTGAAGGTCTACCCTTCGCAAATTGTTAACAGGATAACTTCAAATCTTGGGGAGGCATTGTGTTTGCATTGAAGCCGTTCATGAGAAGTCCAGAATTTGAGGTTATGAGCTTATGTTTATTTTGACCTTTTGTGCCCAGGAGAAAAGGAGGCAAATATTGGTTAGGTTTCAAGCGTTCATGTCTACTGTCTATCGGATTTCCAATCTAGCCCAAAAATTCCCCTGGGGAATTCGGGGGATTGAAAATCTCGCTCAAGTGATAAGTCCTCTCCCGTTTGTTTCTTTTCTGACTTGATTCCTGGGAACTGGCAAGGCCAATTAATAATGCAAATGCAAATTCAAATCTATTTTCTCCGTTTTTGAAATGAAAAGGGAAGATTTACACATGCCAGTCTCGGACACAGTTCAGGCATCAAGACTGCAACAACCTAAGAATGGCTCTTCATGAAAAAGTCGAGGGCTGAAAAGATTTTCATTCGCATTAACATCTTCTCCCATGGTTTTTGGTTACAAGGAGTGCAATACGGGCGCAGTGATCGAAACTTGAAAGGTTTTTGGTGCACAATTACATAGCCATATTTGTTTTTACATTAAATATTTTAGAAAAAAAATATTTATATTTATTTTTTTTAAATTAATATTTTTTTAATGTTTAAATATTTTTAATATATTAATGTTAAAAATAAATAATAAATTATTTTAATATATTTTCAAATAAATAACCGACCGATAAAAAACACTTTCTACTCGAGCAGTGTGCACTATCCGCCGAAACTGGCCTTACCAACACTCCTGCCCATCATAATATATCAGCCAGTATGTGCAGATGCAGCAACACGAAATACAACAGTAACGTTTTCCAATTTCCAGGTTACTTCAGGGATTAAGTTGTAGTTGTCGTTGTTATGCATACAAACAGGATTAAAACCCAAAAACATAATCATCTCTCTCAAATTCTGCTTACTCACCTTACTTGTTTGTTCAACAATTGTCTTGGAAGAAGGAAACTATACTATGTGAAAGATCAGGAGGTAACTAACACATATCCTTATATTTGCTACCCTGAACCAGCTAATATAAAAAACATGCTAAATGGGCAAATAGGAATACTCAACAAAAAATATTAATAGTCTAAAACAAACTGAACTATGAGTTCCAGCAACTCTTTATTTACATGCCCATTGCAGATAGAAGCAGACTCTGGTATTCCACCGCGTCAGCCGACACAGCAGCAGAGACAATTCAGGACTCTATTGTCAGCCTCTTTTAGATTCACCGGAAATCATAGTTCTCTCCATCTGAGTCCAAATCCAGTAACAGATGGTGAACAATTTTATTTGTAAAGAAAATTTGCTATTTTGGAAAAATCATAAACAAGACAGGCAATGGTGATTAAAACTAATTGAAAACATACAAGTAAGAGAGTCATCTTGCTTTTTATCATATTTATTTGAATCTAATGGATTACACACTCTTTAACTGATTGCACCCTAGAGCTAGCCTTCTACTTTATGCTTTATAGAACACACAATGGAGAGATATTTATGTCATGCTTCACTGTATATTTTGACCTCATTTCTTCCAAGAGAGGGGAAATCTTCCTGAGAGCTGATGAAAAATAGGCCTGAAATGAGTAACCAGCGAAATGCTCGATAGAATTTGGACAATTAGAATGTGATTTGACTGGCTTTGAGAAGTCTGGTTCCAATTTTAAGAATTACTACAACATTTGAAATAGAGAAATTTTCTAGACTCTGTAAAATCTAATCTTGCTATTATGTTGTTATCAAGCATTCTACCTGAATATAAAAGATCAAATTTGACTGGGAAAAAAAGCCAAGCCAAGCAACATTACCTGCAAGATGATATTGAACTTCTCCTTCAAAATTTGATATTCATCCTTGGTCTTGCCAAAAGCTGCAAGGCACCTGAAAAAAGTGAAAAAGCCTTCACAATGACAAAGAAATAATGGTATCCAGGATTCCAGCATCATCATGAACATCAGAAAGCACCATTGAAGTGGAGAAAAGGGGATGAACAGCAGAAAATGTTGTCATCCAAGAAGTTTTTCAGCTAGCACACTATCCATCACAAGAGAGACCCAGACAAGATTAAAACCTTGGGAAAGAGTTAATCCTTTTGGCTGGGGT